AAAGTACCGCCCGGGATTCCCAGGCGCATCATGGGAAAAAGGGCCTACTTTCCAGGCACCGCCTGGGAATCCCAGGCGGTACTTTTGCCGTGTAGCCCAGAACCCCAGCTAGCCTTTCCCATTAACCGGCCAATGTTAAGACATGACACCCCTTGCCGGACCTTAGCCGGGGTGCCGTGGCTATTCTTAACATTAGCCAGCTAGTCCTAAGATACACCGGCGACCGGACATACCTTTATCTAGTTTCCCCTACCGCAAGTAACACCATAGCCCACACCATGAAACGAACTGAAAAGTACACCAAACTATTGAAGAAAATCCTCGGTTGAACCAACTGTACTGTGTACACACATAGATTTTGTGTGAGATTCGGGAAGCCTAATGAGTTTAAGGGAACTGAAATTTCATGCTTTTTCTATCGGCGCCCAATGCTGTACTATCAACGGCCTGTTCTTATATCTCGATGATGTCCGGTACCTTCACAATTGCGGCGGACGCATGGTTTCACGCGTTACCTTGTCCGTTGCATCCACCTGGTATTAGAGAGACCAAACGAGCGGACTTGGCTGTCCGTTTGTCCGGAAGCAAACGAAGGTGCGAGCTTCGGCTCGTTCGGCTCCGTTTCGTGCCGAGCCGGGCGGGCGGACACGGCAAACTGTGCAGCAAAGCTCGCCAGGCTCGGACGCCGAAGCGGCCCGAAGAGCGGCCGACGGGTCGCTCGGAGCCGAACGACAGCCGCTAAATTGAACCTTTGACTACCAGAGGGCAGCACCTGTCGGAATGGTTTGTGACAGCTGCTGGGCGAGGGGTGAGGCGGGGGTCTCTATTGGACTGCTTCCGAAAAAAGCGGGTGTCGATCCGGAAACAGAGGTTTCAACGAGCGTTCGGTGACGAGTTCGGGTATCTTCGGCAGCCGAAAAATGCTTCGGCTCGCAACACATGCCGAAAGCCGCCGACAGCAGTGTCCGCTCATTTGGTCTCTCTACCTGGTATCGCCATACCGTTCTTCCAATTTGGTTGAAATTTCGCGTGGCCATAACACATGGCCAAAACTCGGGACATACAAAATAATCGTGTTATTTTCTCTGTCAGTTCAGCCGCACTGTTAAAAAATAGTTGTACAGAAACAATCAGATGAGTGAAAATTTAGTCGTTCCAAAACATGGAATTTCATCATGAACCAAAGCAAAACTACTGTCGTTGACTCAAGTCAGCGACAATTTGTCGTTGAAGAACAATATTCTTGTTATCACCCTTAACGATACAATTTGTGTGGAAACAACATCTTTGCAATTATCTGCTCAATTAAAGCGAATTATGAAAATTCATCTAATTTGTTCGCCAAGTCATAGTGAAATTACTATCGATAAAAAAAGAACCATGCAAAATAAATTTAGCGACAAAAGTTCTCCATGAGTACTTTTTGCAGACATAACAAAATCTTTTTCGACTTACAATACTTGTCGTTGACTTACAACTTTTGTTGTTGGTCAACGACTTGTTTTTGAAAGTGGACTGTTGATGTGTTATTACAAGTTAGTCGTTGTGAAATTATCCTTTAGTTCCTGTACGACTATGGTTTGACAAGCTATTCGCTCCACAACAAATCTTGTCGTTAAAAAAATTAGCGACAAATGTGTCGCTAAGTTACTACAAAATTTTTATCAGTGCGTACCCTTGAAAAGACCGGCTAAATGACTCATTTTGTAGCCAAAGTAATGAAACGCCCTGGACTTTTTTTTGCACAGTTTTGTGGTGCCGTGTTCTGGGCAAATGTTACGGCCGCACAAAAATTTCATTCCAATGTGACTGACAGTCGAAGGCTGAACAGTGCGGGCAGGTGCATTCTTCTGAACCAACTAATTAAGGTCTAAAAAGCTGAGATTTGATTTAAGCAAGGAAGGACATGGCTTCGACCTAATAACAGGGATCCTTAACTTACCTCATAAGTGCATCAGTTTTTGTGTCTCGAATTTGTGTGGGTATACTTTTGCAAGTACTTTCATGAGTCCGTACCCTTAACCTATAGCGAACATTGTCTTATGTTACGTTATGACAGCAGTGTTAGTTAAATGTTGAGTTAAGTCCTGCCTCATAAAAAAAGCTCTCAGCTGGATCGTCCGAGCTGTTAAGAAGTCTACCGCTCGCTCTACAAATCAAGAGTGTACATGGTCCGCTCTAACTGGAGCACGCCTGCAAGCACGCTCTAACTAGCGCATGCCTGCCAGGCATGCACTAATATTGCATACATGCCATGTACACGCTAACTGAAGCATACATTTACCGCATAAGGGATAGGGAGTTTTTCTGCATCAGGAAGCGTGTACTTGGCATGTATGCTCTAGTTAGTGCATGCTTGCAGGCATGCGCTAGCTAGAGCGTGCTTGCAGGCAGCTCCATTAGAGCATACTATGTACACTCTTTTTGATTGTAGAGCGGATTGCAAAATCATCCATTATCATGCTGACTCGAACTACTGATTCAATATTTAACCTTTTCAGGGCGTTTACGTTGTGAAGAACGAATCGGTGAGCTGGACGTTTCCCAACTTCCCAGTAATACCGTACGGGCGTTACCGGTTCCGAGTGACGTCCCGCAGCTCCAGCACCAGCCGCACTCCTGTGCTATGCCTCGAAGTCGACTGCGAAGCGATTCCGAAACCGTAGTAAGGAAATATGATGAACTTACAGTAGGCATTTGTATGTGGTTAAGGTTATTGTAAAGTAAAAAAGGGGCTATTTAATTATTTTTTTTAACACTTGTGTGGAAAAAGTTCCTTCACTGTTATCCAAGTTGCGATACTTTCAACACAAAAACGTGTGATGATATCAACAATGCGATTCCCACGAATCATTGCTCCTGACATGCAATGACTTCTGTATCGCACAAAATTCTGCAATGATCATCACAACTTCCTGCAATGTAGAGCGGAGTTATTGCAAAAAAACTGCGATGATGACATCACAAAATCTGCAAACATTACAGTTTTTTTTGCAATGATCATTGCAAAATTCTGCAATACTGTAGCTCATCACACCTTTTTGCAATGATTATCACAGAAAAGTGCGATGAAATTTGTATTGCGCAGAAAGTGTGGTCTGTATCGCAAGTGGAATAATAGTGTTGTCATTGCATTACCTCATACACTAAGACTAGGGCTCCAACTCCTCTTAGTTTCTGAGTTATGGAGGTTTACGTAAACTTTCAGTCGTTTCTCCAAACTGGGCTCCCCAATTTTCGAAACAATTAGAAGTTGTATACTATTGACCAAAATATGAACTCTCTGTGACAAATATTTCTAGGACATGCTAGTAGTCCTTTTCAGAATCCTTAATTTAACAAGTGTCCCAAGTGAGCCAAGATTGGCCATCTTTTGCTCCCAATGCGCAGTTCTTTTCGTTAAACTTTTCTTTCTTGGTGCTGTACTTTTCCTAGCCTATTCGAGAAGTACCGACATCACATTTATTTTGGCATGTATGGAAAACTACATTTAATGGAAAGTGATCCATTTCATCGGGAAGGGATGAGGTTACAACGAGGGGTTACCCACTCCGGAAATCGTGTGTACACTCAGTCCGGTAATCGTTCGTAATTTGCTCAAAATTTTATCGAAAATCTTAAAAGTTTCAATGGAGAGGGATATGTAATAGACACAAAACACTCAAAAGCTAAGAAAAATCTTCAAAAACCTCTCCTTTTATGCAAGATTTGTTCAGGAATCGCGGGAATCCGGAATCGTGTGTACGCCCAAGTACCGAGTGGGTAACCCCTCGGGTTACAAGCAGAAAGCAGAATAGAATAGTTACATTCTCTTCTGTAACTTCTGAACAGTGCCAAGTACGCCTTTCGGAACCAGTCTGCTGGTCTGTCGGACTAACGTCCTCTGTCTCTCTCGCACTCATGGGACGTCCCCAATATGTGCGTGAGAGACAGCGACGAAAACGACTCTCGGAAGCTGTCTGCTGGTCCGGTGGGGTGACGCGCTTTCCTGGACGAGGTGCGCTGTTGTCGTTTTGATTGACCAAGCTCAGTTCTATCCGGCGTCGAAAGGGCTTCGATTTTGCTGATATGGCACTCCGCTGATGCTTTTGAATGAGCTGTCACCATCACTACCATAATGCTTTTTTTTTTTTTTTTTTTTTTTTTGCAGGGGCAAAGCAAGAGACTCTACGGATACTGTTAATTGCATGATTACGGTTTACTGAATCACTACAAGGTGACACGATGGTTGGACTGGCTTCCTCGCAGGGCAAGAGACTTCACGGGTACTGACGATTGAATTATACCGGAATACTTCAAGGTCGATAGTTTACCTGCCTACCTCGCTGGCGTGAAGGCCACTCTATCGAAATGGGTACATTGAACACTCTACCTGCAGCATGCCTGCAAGCACGCTCTCGGTAGCGCATGCCTGCCAATAGAGATGGGCGAACATGTTCGGATCCGCGCGAACTCGAACGATCCGAACAAAAAATTTGTTTGTTCAGGGTCGAACAAAAAGTGCTCGACCACGAACTGTTCGGAAAATTTCGGGCAAAGTCGTTCGTGGCCGAACATTTACTAGACGTGTCGGCTGCGCGAGAATTCATTTTGAAACGCAGCGCGCGACGCGCTGAAAGGCGGCAAAAGTGCGAAGCCAATGACAACGCGTTCCCCCCTCTCTCGCCTCACGTAGCCACCTCCCATCCGTCCCCTCCCGATCCCCCCGCCCATTTGACCTTGACCCTCGCTATCGTGCAGCACGTTCACTCCGCCCCATTTAGCAGCCGGACAAGCCACTCACGGACTTCTTGAAGGTAATGCGGCGTGTCACGTGTTGATTTATTTGTTTAAGGGTTATTAAATTTATTCTAAGATCATTAATCCACGGGTCAGATAAATCTTGCCTTTCAAGAATTCGTAGGATGCTTTCTTGATTGGACGTTAAAGCTAGGTTAGGTTCTCGTGTGTTGTTGACGTTCCTAAAGCTACTTTGACTTTCCAGGCCCCCGTTTTCCGTCATGGCGCCGCCGGCATCGTTTGATGAAGAAGATGAGGCATTTTGGGGAGAAGAATTAGCGAGTGACGACGGCGCACCACCGTCAACGTCCACGGATACTGATACTCCAACTCCAACACCACCTGGGACAGGGCCAACGTGTGGTGCAATTGCTGCTGCTCCCATCCAGAGCTCAATCACTCAATTTTTTGGCGGCGGTTGGAAGACACCCACGCGCTCGTGCTCTCGGGTTTTGTCAACAAACTCTACTGCTCCCTCTTCGACTCCAAGAAGAGGACCTGCTGCTGGGCAGTCGACTTCAGCAACAACGGAAGCAGGTAGAAGAATTGGAAGTCAGTCTCCGGACGCAGTTGTTCCCACTAACTGTGAAAATGATTCCGAATTCCTTCTCCTCACAAATGAGGAAAAGGATAAAGTACATTCTTCCACTAGCTTAGTGTGGCAATACTTTAAGAAAATCAACAAGGATCTTGCAAAGTGCAATTCATGTGGTAGTGAAGCCAAGACCCCTACGGGCTCCACCACTCTGCTTACTAGACACCTATCAAAAGTGCATCTCAATCTGTATTCCGAGTACTGCAGGCTTCAGAAGATCAAAACTAGACTTGCCCTTGACAGAGCCAGGAAGAGAAAGAGTAATGTCCCTAAGCTGAAAAGACTCGTTAACTTCCCACTGGACTCTAAAGGAAAAAGGTCAAAGGAAATAACGAGGGCCATAGCTGTGTTCATGGCGAAAGGCCTGAAGCCCTATTCTGTCGTCGAGGAAGTAGGATTTCTTGCACTGGTCAACGTATTGGAGCCAAGATACATGGTCCCATCTCGGTCTCAATTTTCAAGAACTATCATACCTACCATGTATGAAGACGGCAAGAGAAAGTTACAGGAAAGACTACAAGAGTTATGCGACAACGAGTCTCTGGAGTCTGTCTCTATAACTATTGATGGATGGTCTTCCAGAAAACTCGATGCTTTCTTGGCATTTACTCTCCAATTCATAAATCCAGACTGGGCAATGGAAAAGCACACTCTGGATCTTGATCCTTTCCCTGGTGCTCATACTGCTGATGCTATATGTGAAAGAATGGATGACAAATTATCAGAATATTTTCTGAATAGTCGTCATGTCAAGAAATATGTCACCTCTGATAATGGTTCTAATATGCTGGCAGCGTTGGAGCAGCCCAAAGAAGAGAGAATACTGGATGAAGAAATCGCTGAAATATTAAGACACAAGAAAGCTTGGGAACATTTTAAGTGCTTTAATCATACCGGGCAACTTGCCATTAATGACACCAAGAAGGACATGAATATGATCAGCGTCATTGAGAAATTGTCAAAGTTAGTCCAACGCTACAGTAAAAGCCGAACAGCCAAGGAGAGCTTCGAAAAATTCCAGTCCGAACTCAAACTTCCTGGACATGGCCTACTCCAAAGAGTCAAAACAAGATGGAACTCTGATTTTATTATGATGGAGAGAGCTGTTGAACAGAAACAAGCTATAGTGGCAGAATGCACTGCAGCTGGAGAAGATCATCTCACCACTCAAGAATGGAAACTAGCTGAAGGATTTGTAGAAGTTTTGCGACCTCTTGCTGAACACACCAACGAAATGGGAAGTGAACAGAAACCAACAGCTTCGATGATTCTCCCCACTATTTTTGAGATCACAAGTGACCTGAAAGACTTTATAAGAAGTGCTCCAAGAGGAACAGGAATACAATTTGCCAGGAAGATTCTTTCAAATTTAGAGAGTCGATTTGAATACTATCGGGACAATGAAACAATCAAAGTTGCTACATTAGTGGATCCTCGTTACAAAAACATTCTTGAGGATCAGTCTTGGATTCAATCTGCTCAAGAAATTCTTGAAAATGAAGCTGCAGAGAAGTACCGAGTGAGAATACGAAGAGGGCTGGAAGTGCCAACAACACCAACTAGAACTGCTTTGCATTCCCCCACTTCTGAGCCAGCTGCCAAAAAGGGAAGATGGAGACACCTGCAGCAGAAAACCGCAGTCCGCACCACACACACCAATGAGGAAAGCTCAAAAAAAATCCAAGATGAGGCAAGTTTAATAACCACTTTATCTTTCAAACTTAATTTCTTTATCTAGTTAGTTAATTCTATTTCTTATACAATTTTAATGTTTTCTCTTACAGGTGAAATCATACCTCCTTCTTCCTACCATTGAAGTAGAGGAAGACCCATTGGCGTGGTGGAAGGCTAACCACACCTCGTTTCCAAACTTAGCCTTGGTGGCTAAACAATACCTAGCTATCGCTGGCACAGAAGTATCATCTGAGCGAGTGGCATCTTCAGGTTCTAATGTTGTCACACCAAAGAGAACTAATTTGGCTACTGAGCATGTCAAAGAGCTTGTTTTCTTACATGACAACTTAGAGATTCCAGGTTTTTATTGAAATGTATGTGATAGCGATTTTGATGCAACAGACTTTCGTTCCTGTTTGGTTAATTAACTTAGTAGATGAACTGTTTCCAGTTTTATTAATTGCATGTCATGATTTGCATTGACCTTTTTTTAAATTGAAATGTATGTGATAGTCCTTTTGACACAACAGACTTATGTTCCTGTTTAGTTGTTTAACTTACTAGATGAACTGTTTCCAGTTTTTTTAATTGTATGTTACGATTTGCATTGACTTTTTTTAAATGAAATGTATGTGATAGTCATTTTGACACAACAGACTTGCGTTCCTGTTTAGTTGATTAACTTACTAGATGAACTGTTTCCAGTTTTAATCATTACATGATATGATTCGCATTGAAATTGACTGAACTGTTTTAAATTTTATTTATTTTGTAAATTGAAGATAATTTAAACTGGTCATATGAAACTGTATTATTCCATAGGCAAACCAAATAAATGATGGTTTAGAAACATTCTCTGTAAGCATTTAACAGACCTTTCCATTCCACCCACCCATTAGGCTTCTTGTTGCCATACGCAACATCTTCGAAAATTTGAACTGATGTGATTGGGGTCATTCTCACTCAGAATAGTTATTTGCCTTCGGAGGCCTGGCCTAAATGACTTCTCCGAGCAATAGGAATAGAGAAGTGTTGCTGTCATATGAATGTAAAGTAATAGGCTTTATTTAACTTCAGCTACTTCAAAATAATAATACACACTTAACCTTATCTGGTCACACAAGACTGGGGTCCGAAAGTCAAAAATTATAGTTTTAGACCTCTGTTGCTTTCCAAACAAGATTCATATGAACAGCAGAAGTCATAACAAAGAGATCAATTCGTCTTCAAGTGAAAGAAATTGAGGGCAAGACAAGAAAATACGAAGGCTGGTTTTGTTTAGTTTTAGTAATTGACTGTTTGACCTCCACTCGGGTTAGTTCCGTTAGAAATGGCACAGCTTTCATCACTATCAACAAGGCAGAGGAGAGAGTAGAGCGATGGAGTTCACAAGGCCTTAGACTTTTGAGTTCGAATAACTGAATCAGGTCTGGCAGAAGTAAACAAATATGGCCACCCATACAAGGATTGAAACCGTGTTGTGCAACCTTCTTTAATGTATTCTTTCATTTTGTCAGTGGATTGACAGTGAATTTTCATATGCATTGAGAAGACTGAAGTAATCTTTTGGAAAAGAAGGTGCTGCTTGCTAATGTGTATCTAGCATAGCAACATAGAAAATATGATAAAACTGTCATCAACAGTCAACCACCATCCTCCAGCCAACTAGTTGAAAGTGATAATGTTGATAATGGTGCCTGTACCTGCGATACAGCAACTCCGACTCAGCAAAGTGCAGTGCATTACATCTGCTCTGATGGTGGGTAAGGAAGGGTACTGATTTAACCAGTTGGAAGATGTTGCGCATATGCTTTCCGAGAAGCTTAGGAGACAAGTACAAGCCAACCCACAGCACAGTGTTGAGCGATATAATCTTAATATTTAAGGGATACTAAAAGAGAAATCTCCCTCTATATCAGTATTTTATAAATATAAAGGACTGTTCGAGCCTTGATCGTTTGGCTCTGAACAGCTGTGTGTTCGGATCGTTCGGTTCGAATTTTTTGATGACTTGTTCGGATCGGATCGGATAATATTTTTAATTCCTTGTTCGTGTTCGCTCGAATCCGAACAGAGCCTGTTCGCCCATCTCTACCTGCCAAGCGTTCACTTACTAGTGCATAATTGCCAAGTACACGCTAACTGAAGCGTACATTTTGTGTAAGGGATAGGGAGTTGTCTGCATCAGGAAGCGTGTACATGTCAGGTATGCACCAGGAAGTGAATGCTTGGCAGGCATGCGGTACCTATATCGTGCTTGCAGGCATGATCACTCGAGTAAATCTTGTCAGAACTTCAGAAACCTGTGTCAGACCTGATCGAAACTCTCGCATTTTGAAAGCTGAAAACTTATTCTGACATTCTGCAGAAATCACAAGGGAAGTGTCTCAGGCAATACGGAAAATAAGGGTAAAGTATACATAGTTACCGTCAGAAGAGCATCGCACGGTAAAAACGGAACCTGATTTTCCCAGGAACTGCCTGGAAATCACCTATGTCTCTATTTCCTGGGAAAACCAGGTACCGTTATTACCGTGCGCTTTCTTTGAGAGAGCCTCTAGGCTAGGTTATGGCAGGTAGACCCGCGCGACTTGTTCCAGACACCTCAGAAGGCTCTAGACAAAGACTAAAATTAATGACTCTTATTTGACCCGAGAAAATGGTTACCAAAAATTCAGTTATCGGCAGCCAACATACAGTTATCGGCACCCTATATGACAGTGCCACCCCTTGTTAAGAAGACAAAACATTACCGAAAGCTACGAAAATTTCAAATTTTCGTCACAGACACACTATATCGCCCCTCGACTTGTCACGAACCCCCTCTCTCTTCTGTAACGCCTCTTAGTCCCCTTCATTAAAGACTCACAGCAGGGATCCTTAACTTATCATTTAACTAACACTGCTTTCGTAACGTAATTGGCTGAGCCCCCTATTCCTTTCACTGAAACTAAAACTTAAACTAGCGAAGCCCTTTAGTCCGGCCCAGAGACCCTCCCGAGTGAACCACGACGAAAGTGGCACCTCGCAATGTAGGCAACCTTTGAACGTATCGGTGGCAACAAAAGTGGTAGTGTTAAGCGTTGAAATTAACTAAGTAGGTGCCTTTGATGAATTTTTATAATGATCAGAACCCAATTTTTCAAAATGAACGAACAAACATTCGATTCGAGCTGGTAAAACGTTTAGTTTCGTTCACCGTTCAAGTGAAGTTTTCAGGTGGGCAACGATAAAAGTCGGGTGCAGTTTAGAAGCGTCGTTGAATTGCAACCCCGGTGGGTTTTGTAAACTGACCACAACAACACGAACAACACACACGGAGGCGGTAGTCGGCACTAGCGTTCACACTAGATAAAGTCAAAACTTAAAAAATGAAGTTGCAAATTACAAGTTAACATTCATATTGACAAGATTAAAAACTAATAATAAACTATGATCATTATTATAAATCTTATAAAGTTTAAATCTGTAAGTGGTAGTATTTCTTCTTGTGGCAGCGCTCAGTCATGAACAATAAGAATTCGCTTCCAAGTTTTAAAGTTCCACAGTTTAATAAATTGTGTGTCTATCAACAAAAGTAATAATTTTTAACTGCTTAATTGACATTGGGAGGCACATGAGCGATTCTCACGTTTCGGGGTAGTTTTGGCGTCTCTGATTTGCCGAAGGTGAGAAATATCCAATTAAGTTTTTTTGATTATTGGGGTCCTGGATGATACTAGAGTTATGGCAATGGTATTTATAGTAAAGACCTTGTACTATCTTCCTCAAAACATGAGCCATAAGGTATTCCCATACGTTTTAGTGGGTGTTTTGATCACGGAAATTACGTTATCACGGAAGTTACAAAGTGTCAAAATCAGCTTTAACGGCTGACTCGGGCTTGCTGTGGCTTAAAAGTCGTCCCAGGGTCAAATGATACTCTAAGCCCGACATTTAAGCGGAAAATTTTTTCACCTAGTGCTGCTGCAACATTGGGTAAAGGGTGCCACGGAAGTTACAGGTAATTGTTGATACACACCATTTTATAATGCTCTAGCCCGCTTTGACACCGTATACAGCATCTTAGATTTCCGCGACCCATGCAATTATTTTCCAGGGACTCCACTTTGATGGCTTGTGTTATGGAAAGTTAAAAGTTTGGCTTGGGGAGAAGTCCAGAGCTGCCTTTTCGAAATTTGTGTAGTTAAATTGAATATACGGTGGACATTTATCGTTGCAGCATAAGTACCTTTGAAAGAAGTCTGGCGTATTGGTCTTCGGTTGAAATTAGCTCGAGACATGCCAAGCTTCGAATCCCCATCGACAGTTGGCAGCATTTTCGAACCACACCGCCACACTGGGGGTGGAAAGTTCGAGAGGTCTGAACCGCCGCACTGCTAGTTACTTGCCCGCTCACAAAAGACAAGCCCCATCGTTAGTACTTCGTTAGTAGATGTTAGTACTGCAGAAGACGTTCAATAGTACCAAATGCATACCAAATTTTTTTTTTGAAAAACATAGACAGTGCACATTCACACAACAGACACTGCGTCAAACAGCAACTTTATCCGAAACAGCTCTGACCCATTAAAACACGTAAGTACAGGTAAGTACCGAGCTAAAATCAAAGCTGCCGCACAGTCACGTACCGTTACCGACCATAAGGTAAACACTCGACAGTGCAGGAATCGGCTTATTTAAAAACAAGACCCAGCCCAATCAAACTTCTATTTTTTGGATGAACTTTGTTAGTAGACGTTAGTACCGAGTAGAAAGAAGGCCTGAGACATCCTCATCGTATCGTTATCAAGCGTCACTCAGACGAGTGACAGTGCAGGTATCGTTTCATATTTAAAACAGACCCAGCCCAATCAAACTTTTATTTTTGAGACGAACTTTGTTAGTAGACGTTAGTACCGAGCAGAAAGGAGATCTGCACCACCGTCACCGTATCCTTAACAAGCGTCAATCAGACAAGTGACAGTGCAGGTATCGTTTAATATTTAAAACAGACCCAGCCCAATCAAACTTTTATTTTTGAGATGAACTTTGTTAGTAGACGTTAGTACCGAGCAGAAAGAAGAGCTGCTACACCGTCACCGTACACCCCGTCACCGCCAGCAAAAAAAAATTTATTCTTTGAGAAAAAATTAACCAAAACATGAGGACAGTTTGCCCAGTGATGGCCACCTTTTGCAGGTGTCTCTTGATAACAATACGGTGAGGGTGTACCAGCTCCGTCTCATGCTCGGTACTAGTGTAACAGTACGGTGACGGTGTCGCAGCTCCGTCTCATGCTGGGTACTAACGTCTACTAACAAAGTTCATCCGAAAAAATGAAGTTTAATTGAGCTGGGTCTGTTTTCAAAATGAATCGATAGCTGCACTG